ATATATTCTGACCCTGACTTTCTCATACTGGTTCTGACATTCTCTCAGCTGCAGACCTGCAGTTCCTCCATGTTCTCATCTCCACACGCTTCCTGTGATAACCTTTAGAAGCTCTAAAAGCACGTCTGCTGTTCAGGAACACGACGTTTGGCTTCATGTATCGACTGTTTCTCAGCAGCTCTGCTGTTGTTTCTGTCCTCATACCTTTGGGTCCGAACAGCACGGCGTAGCAGGGCTTGTGGCAGTACGGCTGTCCGTCATGCTGCAACAGGAAGAGAAGAACTTTTTTATTCCTCTTCTTAAAACCCTAATCTGTTTTATAATAAAGTGTTGTCCTGTGAAGCTTAGAGAACAAACCGATGTTGCCTCAGACTCTTGAAAAATCACAGCTGGACTGAATTATTAACGTTTTATTTTAATTTTCGACTCTTCTGTGATTAAAGCTCCATAAAGTTTCACCTCGGCGTGGCTGCCCGGAGCCAGAGTCTTACTGCATCGCTCGCAGCGAAGGCACGGCCGGTGCCAGTTCTTCCCCAGAGACGACACCTTCTCAGCTGCACACAGAAAGACACAGCATGGAGACGGTCACCACGGCAACCGGTCCACCGAGCCTCATTCCAGCACTGATGCGAAAACCAAAACAACAAAACGAAGCTGCTCACCAAAATACACCGTCTTGTTGCACCTGGGGCAGATGTTGGGTCCTCCAGAGAAAGATGAGAAGCTGGCAGCTGGAAGAATACAAAGTTATTGGATGTTTTATTTTGCATGAAATACATTAAAGCGAATCATTTTTAAGTTATAAAAACATGTTTTAAACAGAAAAGATCCAAGCATCAAATGAACTCAGTCCTCCATGAAAATTATAAATATTTTTTTTATTTCAGCACAAGACAAGAGTTTCTATTTCTGCTCCACTTTTCCCTCACCCTTCACTGGTCCCCGTGCGGGGGCTTTCTTCTCCTCTGGTTTAGCATTCGTCTCCATGGAAACAGCTGCAGGGGCTTCGTTGACAGGAGAGTCGTACAAGTAGGAGCCAGCTCCGCCGATGTTCACTCCTACAAATAAAATAAAACGTACTAAAAGCTGCAGATTCAAACTTGAGAATTATCGAGATGAATCGATGATTTCCAATAATCAGAATAATGGATAAAGTGAACCTTTAGGTCCAAAGAGGGCGGCGTAGCACGGCTTGTGGCAGTAAGGTTTCCCTTCATGCTGCACAACGAGGCAAAGAAGAAAAAGATTAATCTGCTGCGAAAATGAAGTTTCTGTCTGAATCTGTGTCGATGTTTATGAGATTTGTCTGTTCTCGTTTTGTTCAGAGCTATTTATGGCACGAGACAGAGGAGGTGAAACGAGCGTCGGTTCAGTCTGTGCTCTGGATTTCTTTACTTGAATTAAATTCAAAAGACGCTCTCTGTTGGGATTTGTGTGTTTATAGCAACAGAGACATTCTCCACCATTTTCTGTTTAAACCTGTTCAGACGTGAAATATGAAACACTTCAGTCCACAGGAACAACTTTCAATCAGCCAGATGTTGCAGGAACATCTGTGATGACGAGCACAAAGACATTTCAGACGTGCTCGTAGTTCTTTATGAAACATTCTGATGTTTCTGTTGAAGTGACTGCTCTCTGCTCTCGCTCGTGGAGCGTCAGCGCTGACGAGATCACACTCGCCACCTCGACGTGACTCGTGAAGAGTTCACCTCCTTCCAAAGCTGATAAAAATCATTAGTCGGACACTTTGATAACCGTGTGGCGAACAACTCACGAGCTGATTAAATTAACTTTGTAGAGTCACAAGTTAAACGTGGTCAACTTAAGGCTCGAGGGCCAAAAGTGGCCCTTGGACAATCACCATCAGGCCCCCCATTATATCCTTAGTTAAAAATAAACCATCTTTATTTTTGTAAAAGATTGATTTAAAAAAAACAGCAATTTATCAACAAGTCTTAAGAAAATTAAATTAAAAATCTTTATGCAAAACTTTTAAAATCATTTTCAGAACTAGACTGAACGTAAAATCTTACAAATACAAATATATAACTTTGTTTTGCATATTTCCACTAACGTGTATAATATATTTTACTGACTTATGTCTTATGTTCCTAAAGGATATTGGAAAGACGTGTTTTATGAAGCATGCTAACTGTGCTAATAAGACAAAGCCTGTAAAAAGGTCATAACGAAGATTAATTTTCCAGTTCTTCATGCGGCCCTTTGATTTAAACCTCTACATGTTTTAATTTAACGGATTAATGAAGTGTCTCCATCTTCTCCCATCGTTCAAGCTGCCATGTTGCAGTTTATTTTTGAAGATGTGGGACTGAACCATCAACACGACAGTTCCACCTACACCCCCTCCCAGCTCGCTGTCAATCACAGCGACATTTCTTACAGTGTCAAAAACTCGTTAAAATTAAACATAGTGAGGGAAAAACAATATTTGAACATGCACCAGGAAACCAAAAATATACACAAAGTAATAAAAAATCAATGTGTGATTAAAAAATGATCTGAAAAGTATTTTTATTTTTACAAAGGAAGACGTCTCGTGCGTTTAGAAGGAGAGGCGGGGTTTAAATCTTGTACTGGAGCCACGAGGAGGCGCTCGTCCTTCGTGGCTTCAACTTCCAGCTTCTGGTGTCTCATTGCACTGTTGTATGTTTGTAGGGTTCATTTAATTGTTGATGTCCTTCCATCTTCTATCATTCATCCATAATCGGGTTGCAGAGGCAACAGGTCCAGGAGAGAAAACCAGACCTCCCCCTCCCCAGCGACACTTTTCAGGTCTCTCTGGGGGACCCTGCGGTGTTCCCAGGCCAGAGAAGACGCACAATCCCTCCAAGGAGTTCTGGGTCTTCCCCGGGGTCTCCTGTGAGTGGCTTGAAAACCTCTAAAGGGAGGTGTCCAGGAGGAATCATAATCAGATGAACCACCTCAACTTTGATGCAGAGGAGCAGCAGCTGTACCCAGATGACAGTTCTCCTCACCCCGTCGGGCTGAGCCCGGCCGCCCCGTGAAGGAGCTCGTTTCGGCCACTTGTATCCTGGATCTCGTTCTTTTGGTCATGATCTGAACTTCATGACATCAGGTGAAGGTTGGAACAAAGACAGACCAATCGAGATCTTTGCCTTTCAACTCAGTTCTCTCTTCACCATGACAGACCAAAGCAACACCCTCATTACTGAAGATGAAGTCCCAATTTGTCGATCCATCTCCCGCTCCATCACTCATGCACAAGACACCCAGATGCTTGAACTCCTCCACCGGAGGCAGGGCCGGCCCAAGCCTCCATGGGGCCATAAGTGAAATTTGGTTTGGGGCCCCATTTCTGCTAATAATGTGGATTACTGCGATAAACAGTCCGATGATCACATCATTCACCCACCTAACAAACTCACTGCAACTCTGACAGCCCTGTTTACATGATCCTATATGTATATATCATCTAATGGTACTAAAAGTAACAACAACAAAACACAAATATGCAATGTATTTTACAGCAAAAGTGTCATCAGGTTTGTTCTCTTTGGTTCCGTAGAACTGCAACAGTAATGTTCAAAATAATTTGTAATGCAAGATCAACAACAAACAGATAAAATAACTTGGATGCATAAAAAAATAATTTAAATTGTGCAAAAACAGACAAAATAAAATAAAATAAATATCAAGGATAAATAATGTAAATGAACAATTACTTGAAACCATGTAAAATGGTTTAAAAATAAATTTAAAGTTGAATAATTTGTTCTTAAAACTATGTAAATACGCAACAATTTGAAAAAGCTGAACTTAAAACATTAAATAGAATCATTTATTCTTTTTTCATTACTGAAAAATAAAAATTAATTCCACTTAGGGGCCCCCTAGTGGCCCCGGGGCCCCAAGTAGCCGCTTAGTTGGCTCATGCCTTGGGCCGGCCCTGACCGGAGGCAAACTTGATTTTTGATGCGTTTATAAGAATAAAGCCTCGACTCAGAACATTTTTCACACAGAAGCGACGTCGTGTCGGTCCTCTGCTCCTTCACTCCCTGCTCTTTAAGCTCCTGCTGCGTCTCCGTCGTCTCCGTCGTCTCCGTCAGCGCGACATCTTTAGTTAAATGAAGCCGCACGAGGCCGTTCACACAAAACGAACACTTGTTGACTGCTGCTCGTATCTGCAGTTATTCTTCACTGCAACACTTTCATAAAGATAATGTGAGTTTGAATTATTGAAACGGGAACTAATATTTCAGTTGTCTTTCTTTAAATATCAAATGTACTGTGTAGTGAACCAGATGACCTCAAATCTACCAGATGGACAGAGACTGTTATTTTCATTGATCTGAATAAGTCTGGGCCATCTGATGTCTTTCTTTCTTGAATTAATCAAGCAGAAAAGACAATTCTTTATAATCATTACTGTCTTACAAATGTTTTGATAATCAAATTGTGTTAGTTTCACTCAATTCTTACAGGTTGAAAAGAACTACTCATTTTTATTTTACATAAACAGTAAGTAATGATTTTTATTCCTCATTCAGAGAAGAAATCACCTGAATAAGCATTCCTTGATTTTCTGTCTGAAATGAGCAAGCTGTCGTAAGTGTGTGAAAGGTTGGTTTTCGGTCAACTAAAATGTTTACCGAGAAAAATGTCATGTTTAAACTTTTTCAGAAGATTACCAAGAGTTGACTCCACGAAGTCTGCTGTTGCTGCAATAATCTTTTCTGTATGTGAAAACAAATTTCATTCTCTGACCTCGACTGTTGATAAACACCTTACGTCAAAACCACTCCTCTTTCTGGTCCTTCCACGAATCAGAAAGCTCTAAATTGAACAGGAAGTCGACCCAAATAAAATGTGGCAACTTCCCAGTTCATGTTAGATTGAGAGTTCTGGAGAATGTGAGAGTCCCAAGATCGAGAGTGCAGCCGGTTCTGAAAGCTTCAGAGCAATGAAGAGTCCAAGAGTTATGAAGAGTTTGGAGTTATGAAGAACCAGAGACGTTTGGGATTATAATTCTGTTTTGAGCTAACCACGCACGACTCTCCGAGGATTTTTAGCTGCTCTCAACGGAGGCGCTGAAACAGTCTGAAGGATGCTTACTGAGCTGATCCATCGTCAAACCAGGTAAAGACTTCTTCGACCAAGTGTACCGTGGGCAAAGCTGAGATACCTGATGGGAGCGTGCAACTTCTGGTCAAACAGATTAAATTCCCTCACACAGTTCTCTGTAAGATAATCTCCTTTCATCTTAAACTCTTCTCTCTCATAAATCAGTGCAGATATTTTTAGAAATATCTGAAGCAAAGTCCTCAAATCACCGCCGAGTGATTTGAAGTTCATTTTCTGTGAAACTGTCTGTTATTATTTTCATATTTTGCCAAATTAATGTAAATGTTTGATGTTAAACTTTGATTCTGAAAATAAATGATTCCATTCATTTGATGGGTCAAAGATAAACAACGTCTCTCGTTACATTTCTGTTAAATTCAATGCACGGCATTACACAGTCAGAAAAATGAAGAACTCGTGAATATTGTATGCATATATAATTCATATATTTGTCATACAACAAGTGACACGTACCTCACGTGACTCACTACAACTGAATGCTTCTTGGTTATTTATTCTGACACAAACATGTAAAAAGTAATGACAACTTTCTGAAAGTGGTGATGCTGCGTGCCGTCTCACCTCCGCGTGGCCTCCGGGGTTCAGCATCTTGCTGCAGCGCTCACATTTCAGACAGAACTTGTGCCAGTCTTTTCCTAAAGATGACACTTTCTCCGCTGTGAAGGTGGAAAATTAAAAAACATTAACTTTTTTTTTTTATATATAAATCAGAGAAAAGAAGTTACACAATCCATTTTTAATATAATTTTTAAAAGAGAAAACAAAAACACAAAATAATTGATCTTCCTTTGAAAATATGTAGAAAAATGTATCCAATAGAAATTAATTAAAAATTCTCTGTATCTTTGAAAATTATCTTTCCTTTATGAACGTAAAGAGGCACATCGTGTCCTTGTTGCTCCCAGAGGAACTAAAACGGGAAGAAGACGCGAGTGAGGAGCAGTGGAGGACGAGAAGATGATGAAGATCAGAGCAACGAGGAAAGCTCTCGTTTCTTTTCTGACCTTTGCCCTCCACACGTCAGTGACGACCTGCTGCTCCACAGGAAGAACATTCACTCTCTCAGACAAACTGGTTCACCGTTTCTGGTTTTTATCTCAGCTGACATGATTTATCTCCGTCTAAATTAGATTTCACGTGATTTCTAAACTTATAGTTTTTTCCTTCTACTGTATAACACTTTGTGTTTTTGTCCCCTGCCACAGTGTAAAGAGGAGGAATTGGAAAAATCATCCATCCATCCATCCATCAGTGCATGTTGTGAGCATCAATAACTTCAAAATAATTACCAACTTCCATTTTGGTGTGTGGCTGCATGCAAGTGTCAAAAAGATCAATATCTAAAACTAAGTTGCCACGACAAAATCCAAGATGGCTGCCATCAAATATGTGTGTCCGTCTTGTGAGCTGGGTGGTTTGAAAAACAAAAAAACGGGCCAACTTCCATTCTGATGTGTTGCTGCATCTAAGCTTCAGAAAACTCGCCATGAAAAAGTGGGTTGCCACATCAAAATCCAAGATGGCCGACGCCATACATGTATACCGTATGTAAACTTTATGAACTCAAATAAAAAACAAGCAGTCAACTTCCATTTTGGTGTTTGGCTGCATCATGTAAAAAAGGTTACCATCACAAATTAAATGGTTATATATATATATATTAATTGTGCTTTTTAGTTTTTATATTACTTAAAATTATAGTTTGCTTGAATGGTTGGGATGACAAAGACTAATCTATAATCAATGGCCGCCCACTGACTCCACTCTTGATCCTGATGGTGAATAAACGTCTCCCTTCACTCACCAGGATCTGTCACTCTGCTCTGCCTCAGACAAAAAAATTATTGAATAAATAAATAAACTACCTCGGTTCTTCTCCACAGTGTAACTTCTACCCACTTGAATGTTTCGCAGCAAAAACATTTAGGTTAAAATTCATTCTTTGTTCAATTCCAGTCCAGAAAAACACTCATCTCAAAAACTACATTCACTGTTCAGACCTCTCAGAGACATCGGTGTAACCAGCTTTTACTCCACAAACTTCTGTTTCTGGGTCCATTTTAAAGCCTGATTATGTTTTTGTTTAGTTTAATTATATTTTATATATAAAAAAACTGATTAAAAAATATGTATCACTTATTTTAAACAAACAAATCCACGTTCAATCCATCGTTCAAGCCGCATTAGTCATTATTATAATTATTGAGGTCTTCGTAGAGAAAAGCAGCCGAGGCGCCTCAGCAGAGGTTGGACCTGACGTGAGCTCCCGAGCAGCCGTCTGCAGGAATAATGACAGAGCAGGTGCCACCGCCTCCACGTCTGAACAGATAAAAACACTTAGCGCGCCCTTCAGGGTTCATATCAGCCTGAAGCACATTCTTTCCACAGCTCTTCAAAAGGTCACGCAGTGACTCACTCGTTTCTGTTTCCTAACATTTCACTTCACTCTGACGAGTTTCTGTCTCCTCTCCCGTCCACCTTCACCCAAGAACAATATTGTTGTAACCTGGACTCCCACTCTCCTCCGCTCATTTCAAGGATCAGAAAAACGTGGACCAGCTCGTCTTCTTTTGTTCGATGGAGGACTCGGACACATCGTTCAGCTGTGAGGAGATGCTGGAACCGTTTCCTCAGATTTAACACATCATGTCTCAATAACCCCCCAGTGGAGTGGTGGGGCAGAGGTTAGAGAAGGTGGGCCGTGATCGGAAGGTCGTGTGTTTGACTCCCTAAACAGACATCAAAATGTGGGTAGGAAAGGTCAAACACTGCCTCCAGCGTCATTTACCCCACTCTGGGCCCTTGAGCAAGGCACCCATCTGCTCCCAAACAGGTCTCTCTTGAAAACGAGTCCTCGTGACTCAGTGAGACTACCAGTTTAAATAAAAGGTTCAATTTAAAAAAAAAAGATCAGTTACTGTTTTACAGAAACGGTCCATTTCATGGTCGGGTCCGGTTGCTAGGCAACCATCAGAGACCAAACTGGCAGGAAGAAGTGGGACAAAGTGATTTATCCGACGCTTCGAACAGTTCAACCGTTTCTCTGTGTGTGAATAAAAAACATGCTCAGGTTTTATTGGCCTCGTTTGGACGCAGGTGGATGAAGATTTAAAAAACATAAAAAAAAAAAAAATCACTTTTTCCTCTTTAAATTCTACATTTAAAGTTTATTCAGTCACATCACATCTCTCTGGCCTTTGACACCTTCTGTAAGACTTTTAATTATTTTAATCGTTCTTTATTGTCTGCAGCACTTTGGTCCTGTGGGTGTTTAAAGTGCTCTATAAATAAAGCCGCGGTGGTTTTGGTCCCAGATGTTGCAAATATTTTCAGGAGCTCCAAAATCAAAAGGTCCCGGAGTCCTTGAAGGAACTCGTATCATTCGATGTTTTCAGGCCAGAGTTTTAGACAAAGACGTTTTGTGCTCGTTTACTGTGGCAGACAAAAGTTAGTTAGACGTACATCCAGTAATGTTCTGCAAACTTCATTAAGTGTGAGGTATTTTGCTAACAGACACGTGAACGCAAACACACAGACACGTCCCTTCCTCTTTACGTAAGCCGGCCTGTTTCTGACCTCATCAGAACAATTGGAGCCGACGACTGAGGATGAAAAGCTGTTTGTTCAGACTCAGTCGCTCCGGGAACACATTTCTGTCTGAAACAGACGATGGACGGAGGGAGCAGGAAGTCCACCAACAATCTTTTTACCAGTTTCTCCTCCTCCTGATCGATGCAGCAGGTTCTCTGAACACAACTTCCTGTTTGGACTCGGCGGCTGCTCGGCCTGTCACATGGACACACGACCGTCCTCTGACGAACATATGAGCAGCTTTATATTTATACATTTATTGTTTCATAAACGCTAAGATTTACAAATAACTGAAGCATGATGTGAAGTCAGCATTCACACTTTTAACTGCTATTTTATTACCTTATGTTTTGTTTTGTATATTTCAGGATATAGGCTACTGTTTTGATCATTTTAGGTTTTTGTCTTGGTTATGTTTATTTCATCTCTTATAAATTATAGCTTTTTGCTAATGCTGTAATAATCTTAATAATTATACAGATTTAAGCTTATAGCATTTTGTTATAGTTCTGCTCATTTTAGCTTTTTCTATCCATCCATTACCTTCGCCTGCTTCTTCCTTTATGGCTCACATGGGTCACTTTTACAAATTTTAGCTTGTGCTGAAGTAATTTTATCCATGCTTTTGCAAATGTCAGCTTTCAGCTACTGCTCTGCTTTTGTAGCATTTGGTTATAGTTTTATCATACCATACCATTTTATTTATAGAGCACTTAAAACAGCTAAAAGGCCAACCAAAGTGCTGTACAGACAGAACAACAGGTAACACACGAAGCAAAATACAAAATGAAGTAAATCAGAATATAGACATAAAAACGATGCAGATAATAAATATGACGACAAACCAGTGTGGAGCATACAGGATCAAAACACAGATCATCTGGTGTTAAAAGCTACTGAATAGTAGTGAGTTTTTAAACGGGATTTGAAAACCGAGAGGGAGGGGGCCTGTCTGACAAGCAGAGGTAACTCATTCCAAAGTCTTGGTCCTGCTACAGAGAAGGCCCTGTCACCTCTGCACTTAAGACGAGTTCCTGGAACTGTGAGGAGCAACTGGTCCGCTGACCTCAGGGAGCGTGGTGGGACATACGGTTGTAGCAGATCAGAGAGATGGGGGGGGGGGGGGGGGGGGGGGGGTG